AATATGCTTATTTCATTAAACAATTTTTTTTTTCTCTAAATGCTATTAATAATACTGATTTTTTGGCTATTTAAAATAAACAAAAAATATAAGATTTACTTTTTATACCACTTCAGTGTCTGAATTTATATAAATTTGATTAATTTTGATTCAAAAAATAAACAAAATACAAAATTTTATGCATTACCAAATATTTTTTTTCAAAAAATAAAGATTCATAATGTATCAGATAACATTGTAACAGTTGTAAGTAGTGTTTAATTAATTATGGCTATATATATTTTTATTTTGAAAAAATAAAAATAAAAACGTCCAAGGAAGAAGATCTGTCTCATTCAGATTGTATATTTATTGATTTTTTTTCTTGTCTGATATCCTCATTTGACTGATTACCTACTCCATCAACGCTTCATAATTCTAAACCGATATCTGAAAAATGAAAAAGGGCGGCGTTTCATTTTCCAAGTTATCTGCACATGGATAATGATAAGCCATAAGTACAATGTACCGCCACCGCCAAGTTGCATGGTTGCTTCATCCTCAAACAAGATCTTAAAAATGGAGATGATCAATGCTGTGTCGCTGTCAAGCCTCCCATCCGAATTGATATTAGTAATATTTCGGAAGATTGCATCCCGTTCTTTGGAAGACATTACTAGCATGAAGCTAACATGCAAGGACTTCCTCGAACTTGCAAAATCTGATGATGTATACGAAAGTGTCTCCTTTGAAAAGTTGCATGATGGTCCGTTGGAGTGGGTAATAGAAGCCAAACCATTCTTTCATCAACTTGAGGCAAGCAGTGAGGATGACTTCGACCAAGCAAAAATATTAGAGAGGAATCGAGTAAACTATTTCATCCAACGATGTCGAGAGAGTGGGAATCCTAATGTGTTCTTTCGTGAGGGTGTTGTTAATTACTTTCGTGAATCTTCAACCCCATAAACCATATATACAGCCCTTGATCATATTAAGCAAGCATCACTGAAAGGTCACAAAGATGCTAGCTACCTGTACTCAATGATACTGATGTCAGGGGTTGATGAAACTCAAAGGTCGGAGGGATTTGAACTTTTTTGTTTGTTGAATCAATCATGCTCTGTTTCTCTGTGCAGGTTTAATGTTAGACTTTTCGTTAGAGGCCTGTGGATGAGAAGAAAGCTCGTTTCTGAAGGGCCACCAATCTGCAAGCCAGACAAATGCCAATCGAACATATGGGAAGATGATGAAGATGTGTGAGTTAGCACAATGATGAAGATGTGTGAGTTTTGCAAGGCGGACTTCGAAATTTACCTATTTCGTTTAATGATCATGGTTTAAGTCAATTGAAGGAGATGATTATAGACCATGTTTTGCAATGCAGCCTGCAGTGTTTGAATTTTGGAAATTGCCCTGCATTTTTTCGTTTCCTTTTGGTGTATTTATGGTCTGTAATTTGTGGATATTTAAGTTTAGTTTTTATGTTGTTAATTTCTATTCTCTATTTTTCTTCAGTTAGTATTGTGATTTGAATGTCTGGAATTTTCTCCATAATTTGATTAGTGTTATCGAGTATTAAAAAATATATATAACAAATAAAGGGGGCCATCACAGAGATTTAATTGAAAAAAACTATTTTTATATAAGGTTGTTATATTTAGTAATTGAATAATCAAAATATTTTGATAGATCATGTGAAATAAATAAAGTGAGCTTTTACTCTTTTTTTTTTATGGTAAACGAATAACTACATATGCTATGAATACATTCAAATAACCTCTAACCAATGTCATCATAATATATTGGTCAGTTTATAAACAATAATAATGCTCCTAAGTAATATTCAGATTTGTATACATAAAATTTTAATTATTTTTTTTTGTTAAAATATTAATGGCATTATCATATACGAAATGGTCTAAAACAAAATGATTCCATATATGAAGTATGATCTTTATAAGTATTAATATAAATACAGTTATATTGATAATCAAATAATTAAAATATTGAATTACGTTAAACAACTAACATCTTAATATAATTTTCTTTAAATAATAATCTATTCATCAGTACTAAAAATAAAGATCTTAAAATTTTTGTTGGGTAATATATGTAAGAAGATTAACAAATCCCTTTTGTTAATAAACAAGCGTCAACTACATAAAAATGGGGAGGGATATTCTTACTACCAAAAAAATTCACTACCACCACAATCATCATTGGATTCATATTTTCTCTCTCTTCAAAATCTTTTCAACATTCTCTCTCTTGGATCCAATGGTAATTATGAAGGTAGTAAGATGGTAGTATATTTTTTTGTTAGTAAGAATATCCTTCTCCTATAAAAATAAAGATATAAAAAATTGGTTACGAGGAATTATAAATACATTCAAATTTGCAATTTCAAATAACTAACTATTGGACAAAATTAAATGATGTGAGTGGGATATTGTTATTTTTTCAAAAAGTTGGTTACCCAAAAAAAAAAACATTAGTGTGCTTTAATTAAATGAATTTGGTTTTTTTTTTCAATAAATCATTACTTCTTTTCACAAAATAGTATTCAGAATATATAAAATGCATTAACAAATATAATATAATTAATAATTTCTTAGTTTTTCAGATATCATTTTATTATATTTAGTGTTTAATTAGTAAATCTTTTATGTACTGTTTTAAAATAAATTAAAAAAAACAAAATTCTATCTAGGTTTGTTTTAAGTATATGACAATCTTTTCATATTCCTTATAAGAATACAAAGCATTTACATTGAAAACATCAATTGGCTTGAAGCATACTTTTTCTTTTTGGTGTATCATCATTAGAATTGTTTGGTAGACATTTATAGAGTACAACGATGAGTTATTGGGCATAGGAAAAAGCAACCTCGATTATCATGATGCTGAAGCAAGAGAATAGGTGGTACAGTAGTTGCATTTCACGTTGAGTCTGATAGGAGAGCAAATATGCTATAGGAGAAACATCATATTGATTCTTAAGCATCCTCTTTATTTGTGCTCCATCGTTAATACAAAACTTTCTTCCAAATTGCAAATGTCGACACGGAAGAGAAGAAGCACTAGACTTTCGAAATCTTCCTGTTATAATTCTCCTGAACAATTTAATCCATCGTTTGAATCCGCTGTAGAAAATCAAACTCCAGAATTTGCTTCTTCCGTTCGCAGGTTTTTTTTATTTATTATTATTGAATATATATTCGAATTTGGTCAATCTTTCTTTGATTTTATTGAGAATGATTAATGTTTCCATCTCTGTTATTAAGTGTTTTTAACCTAAACAGTTATTATGGAGTACTCCCTGTGCAAAATGGGTCAACTTCCAAAAGACAGGTTTTTAGTGATATTACAAATGGTATGTTATTGGATTTCAAATGTTTAGCAGTTTCTTTGTATAATATAGATAGATGTGTCACTTTGTTACTTTAATTTCATTTAAAGTTTTTTTTAATTTACATTTTGCTATATTTTATGAACTGCAGCAACTCCTTTGCAAAATACAAACAGCTCATCAAGGTCCAATGGTATCAGCTATGATAGGGGGTAAGGTTTATTCTTTGTAACGAAAATTTTCTATTAATAAAACGTTATTTAATTTGGGAATTAATAAAGGAACTTTTATATTTTATTTGTTATTCTGAATAGATTGTATGAATTTCTACATACGCAAGCAAAATCAACGGTTACACAAACATTTGAGCATGAAGTTAGTGGTTCATATCCAAGTCAAGGTAATGATGTTATTAAATCAAATGTTGTTTTAATACTTTTTCATAACACAATATATTTACAATATTCTTTATTTTTTATCAATTTTATAGACAGCAAAAATGCTAGGCAGAGACGCAAAAGCATAATGGATCGGAAGAAAAATTCTGAGCGATTTGTCAAGTCCCTAAATATCAGTAAAATGAGTGATTTAACCAGTAAGTTATCGACGTCTATAAAAACATCTTTGTAGTATACTATTATTTTAAATTTATTATATAGCATTCGTATTTTTACAATACAAGAATTATTATCACTATTCTGATATAATTGTTGTGATAGGAATTGATATGACGAATGATGAATCAATGCGTTCAACTGATGGGCCTCCCATATGTGCAGAGAACTCTATATCACAGTATGCTGATACAAAATTAAACTTTTTTTATATTCAGTTATATATATATATATTTATATATATATATATATATATATATATATATATATATATTAAATAAATGTTTTATAAGGATGATTCCTGTTCTCATATTTTTTAATTTTTTTTTATATAAGGATGGAAATCTCTTCTCCAATTGATTATTGTCCACGATTAATTTCAGGTGATTTGTTTTTCATTTTTTAAATTTAATTTGCCAATTATGATATTCTTTGTAACAGACTTTCTGTATTAATGCATTTGTTTAGATTATTGGGATGTGGGTGATCCCACTTATGTTTGTAAACATTGTGGAGCACAAATGTGGTACGAAGAGAGAATTAAGAAAGATCGTAAGGCTATCGTTCCTGAGTTTAGCATGTGTTGCGCCAATGGAAAAGTTAAACTTCCTTTGTTAAAAAAAGCTCCTGAAACGTTGCTTGAACTGCATGATAATTCAAGTATAAGGAGCCGCCATTTTTTACAAAATATCCGTCTGTATAACATGTTTTTCTCCTTCACATCCTTTGGGGGGAAAGTTGATGGGTCAGTAAATGATGGTTCAGGTCCTTACTGTTTTAGAGTTGGAGGACAAGTTTATCATGCAATGGGCAGCTTTCTTCCCCTTGATTTTCATACTCCAAAATTTGCTCAACTTTATATATATGATATTGAAAATGAAGTTGAAAACAGATTGGGATTCCTAAGGTATATAAGTTGATTTAATTTTTTAAATATTCATTTATGAATCATATTATAATTCCTGAATTTAAGCTAATGTCTGTTATTTAATCGTTTAATACAATTTACAGATCAAACAATAATGAAGATTTGCTCGATCAAAGCATTGTCGTATCATTGAAGGAGATGTTAGATAAACACAACAGTATTGTCCAATCTTTTCGCTATGCTAGAGACCGTTATAACGAAGATCAACTCAAAGGCGTGAGATTGAGGCTTATTCGAAAGCGTGGCAATGATGGAAGACTTTATAATCTTCCTTCCGCATCTGAAGTAGCTGTTTTAGTTGTTGGAGATATAGACACCGCGATGGGTGATAGGGACATCATTGTTGAGACACAGGATGGAGTTTTAAAGCGCATTGATGTTAAACATCCATTATATTTGGGTTTCCAGTATCCTTTGTTATTTTCTTACGGTGAAGATGGTTATCGCGATGATGTCCATCGTAATTCAATTTCTACTGGTAGGACAAACCCAAGATCAACTATCAGCATTAGAGAATTCTTTGCATTTAGACTTCAGATCAGATTAGGAGAGTCCCAAGTTCTCCATCAATCTAGAAAACTTTTCCAACTGTTCTTGGTTGATGCTTATACAATGATTGAGCACGAACGTCTTAATTTCATTCGTTACAATCAGGCTAATTCAGAGCTGATTTGTACGAAAATGTAGTACACGCGTTTGACAGAGGAGAAGATACAGCGGTCAAAACAGGCAGGCGTATTATTATACCTTCTTCTTTCACGGGCGGCACAAGATATATGGCAGAAAATTGTAAGGATGCATTTGCAATTTGCCGTTGGGCTGGATATGGGTTTTTCTTTCTTTATGGGTTTGGAGGCACAGGAAAAACATTTATTTGGAATACTTTGTCTGCATCTGTTAGATCAAATGGAAAAATTGTACTAAATGTTGCTTCGAGCGGAATTGCTTCCCTTCTGTTGCCTGGAGGACGTACAGCACATTCCAAATTTCGTATTCCTATTGAGATCAACGAAGATTCAACGTGTAACATAAGCCAAAATTCTACTCTTTCTGAGTTGTTGTCGAAAACAAGCTTAATTATTTGGGATGAGGCCCCAATGGTACATAGATTTTGCTTTGAGGCTCTTGATAGAACACTTAGAGATGTTCTTAGATTTTCTAATTCGAGTTTCTGTGATAATCCATTGCGTGAATTGCCTGTTGTGAGTTTCCGTTTCTTTGATCAATTTGGTGCACTGAATTTCGTCCTCTGTTACTTCAATTATCGATTTGAAGTAGCTTAACCGTTATCAATATCTGTGTTTTGGCTGATTTGTTCTTCACAATTCAGTAGCGTAGCGTTTTTACTTTATATCAGTTGTCATGTTTGTTTGTTGTTTTTGGCTGGAATTTAACGGTTTCTGAACAAACATTGAAATTGGGTTTTGTTTTCCTAATTAAATTATGAATTTTTTTCTATACGAGAGGTCGTATCTTTTTTTAACCTAATGATGTTTTGATTCTGATTACAGTGATAACTTGGGGAAGCATGATGCCGGGCGTGCGGTATTTGCCACCTGTAAACACGTTAGAGCAAAAGTTACAGATTGAAAAGAGGCTTGGTAGCGTGAAATCATGCAAATACTTTAGTCTTCTCACGAAATTTCTCAGTCTCAAAATTAGTAAATCTGAATTTGATAGGCTCTGCATAGAAACTATTGGCAGAGACAATGTTTCGCTTCATAATCATTTTATCAGGTCAATCTTGAAAAAAGAGTCTCTCTCCAAGACAGCCCTGCCAAGAAATAGCACAGTGGAAGTTTCTTTGAATGTCAAAACGCCCAATGGGTGTAACAATCTTCAGCTTCTGTGCAAGGATTTTCTTAAATCTCCTTGGAGAGGTAGGACTCCAAACTTGCGTCGCCGCAGGGACTGTCCTAGCCCTCTTGGTCCTCAAGGGAAGAACAACGGCATTGGGTTTGAGGATTCGGCCCCTAAAATTCATGAGCAGGACAACACTGTTGGTCCTCAAGGGAAGAACAACGACATTGGGTTTGAGGATTCGGCCCCTAAAATTCATGAGCAGTAAAACACTGTTGATCTACATTCTGTAGGTAGCAAGCGCCCTCTATCTCTGGAAGATGGGGAGGAGGTTGATGAGGATTCTGAAAGCCTGAACATATATAGAAGGAGTCCTGTTCGTGCGCCTTTGGCAATTCCCACCTACAATAAAAGAGCACGAAAACTTTCATGTAAAGGATTACCATCCCATACCGTTACTGATACCTGTAAAAGCATTGGTCAACTGCCTGATGCACCTTCTTTAACAAAAAGGTTGGAGCAGAAATTGGAAATGGAAGGATTAATGGTATCAGCGGATGCAGCCAACTTGTTAAATAATGCGCTTGATGTTTACCTCAAAAGATTGATTAAACCCTGTTTGGATTTAGCTGCTTCAAAATCGAGAAATAAATTTAGTGGTCCAATCCAATATGGTTTGAATGGGCTACCTATTGGTAGGCGTGTGCAAAAGCCAATTGGATCTGTTTCTGACTTTAGAACATTCAATAGAGTTGAATCCTACTATACTAGGGGTAGATTGGTCACAACAATTTGAGAAGGTTTGCCTACGTGCATCCGAAGAATGAACTAAAGCAAGTTCAACATTGTACTGATCTAAGCTATAAATTGAGTTTTCCTCAAAGTTATGATATTGGAATGGGTTAAATCCTTTCTGAATCTGACACGTGTCACTTTTTTAAAATCTGTAGAAATAAAGGAAATCATTAAATAGATATTCAACATTTCTAAGGAAGAAGGAAATAATTAAATAAAGGATATTCTACATTTGTGATTAAATAAAGATTTGATTTGTGATGGCTTATGAACATTTTTCAAAAATAAATTGAATTTTATATGTATAGTTGATAAAAAAAATATAAAATTTAAATGAAAATAAAAAAATAAGAAATGATGTATTTGTACTTTAAAAGAAAATTTATTAAAATTTTAAGTTAAAAAAAATACAAAAATAGAAAAAAAAAGTTCGTGCAAGTATTTTTTTAAAAAAATATTTAACATAAACATTTTAAATATACATGTATAACTAATTTAAAAAAAAACGTATAAAAATCATAAATTAAAAGAGAAAAAAATTATATAAAAAATGTATAATTAATACAAAAGAATTTAAATTAAATTTTAAATAAAAAATGACCTCTATCGTTCTGTAAAAAAACAAATTACATAAATTTAATCACTATAAAAATAAAAAGTTTAATTTAGTATATAAGAAAGAAATTAAACTTTCATTTTTTTATTACAAGAGTATAATTAACACAATTTCTTATGTCATAAATGAATAACTAAAAGCTATTATTTGAAAAAAAAAGTACACAACCTTCTATGGATGTTTTTCACTACTTTTTGTATGAAAATTATTATGTCTATTAATAATATTTACCATTGGGTGAGAAAATATTTAATATTTAAACTTTAAACTTCTTAAGTTGAATTTTGAACTTGATAAGTTGGAAAATAGTTCAACATTTAATGTTTCTGCAGTGGAAAAAAGATATATATAATAAATTTTAATTTAATATAAAATTATAGATTAAGCAAAAAAAACCTATTTAAAATTATAAAAATATATTTAGAGTTGATAAAAAAAATTTAAATTTAAAATTTAAACTTTATGGTGGAAAAAAAATTTTAAATTGGATGTTAAACAGCTATATTAATATCTCACTACTTTTTGCATAGGTGATTGTTAAGCTTATTAATAATACCATAACTTTCTGCATCGAAAATGTTAAGACTATTAATAATATTTTTTTAAGCCTATTAATAATATTTATTATTATATAATTAAACCAATGCACGATCTTTTGTTATTACCCATTCAACTTCAACTATAAAGTGTTTGATAGAATATTAAACGTACGAACTCAAATATTTTTTAACTCTTTATCTCTTATATATGTCACAAATACAGAGACCACAAAGAGTCGATTGAAAGACAACTATAAAAAATATAGATTTATTATAATCTAGATGTAACTATAAGATCAATGTTGTGTGGATAAATATAAAAATATATTACATGCTGATATAAAAACAAACTAGGCTCGGTCAGGAGGGCGAGCCTACAAAATAATTTTTATAATTAAATTAAAATTTCATCATTCTTCTTTTATAAATAAATTCCTAAATATGATTTCAATTTTTGTAAAATTCAAAATACTAATGACATATATTCTTGAAAAAAATAATTATTTACATAAAATGCTGATAGTTAAAGGTTGCAAACTGGGTTTGGCCCAAAGGGCCTTCCCGCCCCGTCCACCAACACGTTTTTATAATTAAATTAAAATTCCACTATTCTTTTTTTATAATTAAATTCCTAATTAAAATTTCAATTTTTGTAAATACAAATTTAAAAAATTCCAAATAATAACGACACAAATCCTTGCAAAAAATAATTATTTATTATTATTTTGTAAATCTGATTGTAATAAATGAAAGTTCATCTCTAAGATAAAATATAAAAACTAGACACAACTATAAGAGCTTTTTTTGTGGATAAATATAAAAATCTATTACATGCTAATAGTTAGAGGTGGCAAACTGGGCTCGGACCGAAGGGCCGGCCCAGCAATACATTTTTATAATTAAATTAAATTTTCATCCTTCTTCTTTTATAATTAAATTCCTAAATCGGATTTTTATTTTTGTAAATACAAATTTGTGAAATTTCAAATACAAACGAAACAAATCCTTGCAAAAAATAATTATTTATTATTATTTTTTAAATCTTATTGTAATAAATGAAAGTCCAACTCTAAGATAAAATATAAAAACCTAAATATGACTATAAGAACCTTTTTTGTGGATAAATATAAAAATCTATTGCATTCTGATAGTTAGAGGTAGGGGTGGCAATATGGGTTGAGCCCGGCGTGTCAACCCGCTAACCCGCCAAAACGGGGCGGGTTGGGTTGAGATTTTCAACCCACCTCAACCCGTCCCACCTAGAAGTGGGTCAACACGAGTTCAACCCGCCGCGGGGGGGGGGGGGGGGGGGGGGGGGGGGGTTGACCCGCCGGGTTTTAATATTTTTTATTTTTTTATTGTTTTTTTACAATTAGGTAGTATTTCATTAGTACTTAAATTTTTGTGATATTCAATTTTTTTTTATCTTAGTACTTTCTAGAAAAAATAAAGAATAACAATTTTATTTATGACAAATGTTATCTATTTATAAATTTCTAAAGAATGTTTGACAAATATTAGTATACATTTAAGATTGAGACTAAAAAAATATAGAGAAGTGTGAAATAAAATAAAATAATATTAAAAAAATTCATAAAATATAATTTATTTTTGAATTTTAATTAAATTTTTTTAATTGGCGGGTTGGTAGGTTGACCCGCCAACCCACCATAAAACGGGGTGGGTTCATTTTTACAACCCATATTTTTTGGCGGGTCAACCCGCCCCGCCCCGTTTTTGGCGGGTTGGTGGCGGGGTGGGGCGGGTCGGGGCGGGTCAACCCAAATTGCCACCCCTAGTTAGAGGTGGCAAACTGGGCTCGTACCAACATCTGATTTTATAATAATATTCTTAAATCTGATTTTAATTTTTGTAAATACAAATTTGTAAAATTCAAAATACTAATGACACATATCCTTACAAAAAAATAATTATTT